TCAGTAGCCTTTTAATATCATAAAGTAGACCATGTAATAGAACTGCAAGACACAGCTCTGAGGGCCTGGTTTCCAGTAGGTGATTTCACAGTATTTTATACCCATCCCTTTGCATGGGCCTGAATGGCTGCACAGTGTGCATGAAATTACAGGCTCAAGTCTCAGGAATTCATCTTTTCATCTCATCTCATTTAAAAGCCTTAAACCATAATATTAGTTCTGAGGCTGAGATCTGCTTACAGATCAGTGACATCACATCACTCCTTCTTTCTTCTTCATGCTGATTAACCTGTTTAGACTTTCATAGAAGTCCTTGATGTATGAGCTAAATGTCCTTGAAAACACTGGGTTCTTGGCAAGTAGGCAAATTCCCAGTATGAGGCAAAGGCGGCCAATTTTGCTTTCATTACACTGTTGCTATTCCCACCAACTTCCCAATTTTCATAAAAGTAGTACACACACACGTTAAAGAAGGGTTCAGTGTACTGCACGACCTGGATTCTATTTCTGGCGTTACCATGAGTGTCTTTTTGCCTCTCTTCACCCGTCACTTCAAGCAAATAAAAACCAGTTTTGTCTCTTGAGAGAAGATACCCTTACTTTTTTATAAAGCAGGAAAATAATCATTTGGCATAATCATATGACATACAAGGTTGTTCTGTAAGAGAAATTGTTACTAGAAGTTTCTTGGATCTTGCTGATTCTTAAATCTGAATCACTTAGTTTCAACAAGAAGGTCTTAGGGCCAACAATCCAATTTTCAACAAGCAGGTTAGATTTATTTTCAAATGAACACTGTTGAAATGTACCTCTCGGAGAAATTCTGATAAGAGAAAACCCCAGAGCATATTCATTAAATGACCTTTTTCCCCACCACTTGTCACACTCCTACTGATTTGCATATCCACTCTGTTAGGTGCCTCATAGATCTGGAAAGTATTACTGCTGTGCTAGCTCAGTCTAAGAATCTGAATATGTTTCCTGATACTTTTGTACGCTGAATGCCAGCTGCGCTGTTTTCATATTTCAGATCTTTACTCCATTCATTTGCCTAACTTAAAGAAGCTGAAAAAAATGGGAAAGAGAAATACAGAACTCATGGTTATGACAATATTTCAAGGAAATTTACTGCTGTGGGCTCTTTAGACACCTTATTTCAATTTAGAAAACCTATTTTTTTACCTCTTCTTTCCAGCTGAAGAATACTGCCAATAGAAATTTTAAAATCTTAATTGTGTATTTCTCATAATTTTGAGGAGGACAGAAAAATTCCACCAGAGACTAGTTGATCCATATAAAAAAAAAAAACCCGTTCCAGTCTAATTCCACCCTATCTCGATCAAGCCAGTCTGGTGAAAAGAATGAGGGATTGTATTCTGGCTGCAATTCCAACTGGAACATGAAAGAGTTATGGCATTAAATCCATGTCCTAAAAAAAAAAAAAAAAGAGTATGAAGAATAATCTAGCACGTTCAGTAATATAATACCGTATCTCCTATGTTTCACTATTTGCTGTAAATGTTTCAGGCCTTTCTGTTCAGTCTCTGTCCTTATAGTAGTATACCTTTCATTATTTTACTCCTGTCTAAGCAACTTCCAGGAAGCAGTTTTCTAAATTAAAATGACGTCACTTCAAAACCTTGTAAATTCAAGTCAGTGTTCACAAAATGTACTAGATTGGCAGTCTTTGACTGTAACGTCTTTACACAGCTTAAACAACAGACGGCACAAGGTTCCCTGTATTGGTCTGCCTGGTATTTCAAATCTACTCATCCTTCCTTCCTCACTTTCTGCAGTTTGGCTCTGTAGAGATCTATCTGATACATTGATAACATTAACAATTTTTTGAGAAGAATAATTATTTTGGAACATTTGCATTATTGACATTATTAATGTTTTCAAAAATATGTAAATGACTCATGAACAGAAATCCCTTTTTGACAACATTCGGCCATGCCCAGGATTTTGTAGGTGCAATTTCACTATTATTAGGTTTCTCGCTTGTTCTGGTGTTTTGGAAATGTAGCTTCATGCATTTTTTTTGTCTGAATAAGGCATTTCAGAGCCTCAACCATACCCCCAAGACACAGCAATGATTTTAAAATTCTTACTGTCAGGTAAGGCAGTGATGGCTGAAGTTTAATCAGACAAGGATTCTCATATCCCTGTTCCGATACTGTGTTCTGGTAGCAGCCTGTTACTTCAAAATGTGGTAAATTTTTTATACATAATTTTATTGTGACTGAGACTGTTTCCCTACACGTTTCAGTTGGAAATACAAAATATTTCTAAGACTGAAAGCATACAAAGTACATTTGAGATTTGTAATGGATTCTTTTGTTGCCAACCTGGCTGATTTTCAGGTAGGATCTCCTTCAGATAAACAAAGGGGAAAATTTCTCCACTATCATTGTGCTGTAGAGTTCAAATGCAAGCAAGTGCTGGCCAAAATTGTCCAGAAAGCAAGTAAACCAGGAAGGGCAGGATGAAGAAAAGCACTTAATCTAAATGCACATTAGGAACCATGTATCTTGGCTTGGTGGCTTTGTAACGGTATGGTAAGAAAGAGAAAAGGATTTGGTCAATTTTTATTATCCTTTTCCTTCAGTAACAAGAAGGAATGCTCACTTCCCTGAAAAATTTGACTGGCATTTCCTCTCTAACATAGGCAGTGAGGGGAATCAGATTTGTCAGAAGTCCATGTTGTAGGGGTATTGTGTAGCAGAGAGAGTGGCCTTCTACACGGTGCTTATAGTGATATACCATTACTTTAATAAGGTTTTTTTTGCTACTGTCTCACATGGCATTCTCAGAAGCAAACTACAGAAACAGTCTAGCTGAACGTTCTATGGCATGAAATATATACTGTAACATATAATATTGTAATTGGAGAGTTATCATTTTAGCCCTCGAAATGGAGGGATGTATCGTGAAGGCTTCTGCAAGGATGACTTCCAAGTCAAGTATTATCAGTGACTTTGGTAAGTGGTCATTACATTTCATTGTAGAAACAGCAAAATAATCTCTATTTAGACAATACTCAAATCATGAAAAACACAGCCCATAGAACACATAATTCAAATTAGCATTGGGAAGTGCAACATAAAAAGCAAGAATGTGACTTTTTAAAAACTAAGAACCAATATTAAACCCTTCTTTTATCTATTTCTGAAAAGAAAATAAATCTTGATATGTGGAAGCCTTGCTTTGAGCATACATTTGGGAAGCACGAGCATTTCTCATCTACTTTCAGCTGTACTTTTATATTTTGTTCTCAAGGGAAGTTCCAGAGGCAACTGAAAGTCCATTCCTGTAGCCCACTGTAATAACAGAGGATTTTTTTTTTTTTTTTTTGAAAAAGGAATACAAGATGGGCAGTACCATTTTTTAAGTGAAAGGGCCCCTGCAAGAATACAAGGTTTGGTGCAAACAGATCATTGCATGGCTATGCTCTAAGATATGTAACACTGATACAGTATGTATAATTAGGCTAGACACCTAGACTGTCCTAAATGAACAACCCTGAGTACTTCAAAGTTACAGCAGCTACACAATATATTAGTTTCTTAGAGAGCAAAATTTGCTCTGCCATGTATGTAATACCACTGAAGCTCAATAGGTTTTTGCATGACGAAAGACGTAAAAACCCACTTCCCTAAACAGTTCAAGATGCAAACTAATTAAACTGACAAAACAAAACCCAATTCTTTCTTCAAAGCTGTAGCTGAGTAAATTATCTCTGTGAAACACTTGGTTGGCTTTTCCTGTGCTTCATGACCACAAATTTTGTACATATGGAAAACAACAAAGGCAAAACTATGGCTGATACTGAAAACAGCATACAGTGGGAGATAATGAGTGTTTTATAACTAAGAGACTACTTAATGATGCTCGGCAGTGAGAATTCTATCTAAGCAGTCATACGTGGATTTAAAGTCCACTTTCTCTGAAGTAACTGGAAAACTTATATGAATTTCAATTTCAGTAGGACCTGCATTTTTGAATACAGATTCATGCAAATTTATACTGATAGCCACATAATGCTTCGGAAAAGTTTAAAGCAAGAGAAAAATGGCATCTCAGCAGTACGTCGACAAAGGAATAGCTTTATTGTATATATAAATCAACACATGTAGTCTCTGTGTACCTACTGTTCTGCATACTCTGTGTATAAAACCACACATGCTCTGCCCCAATTTTAAGGGCACTGCAGTTTTGTCACAGAATAATTTTCCCTATGGCATAATGCACTGAAAATCTTGTAATAAGAAAAGCGCTAATACGTCTCTGTACAGCAAGAATCTTTGTGACTGGTATCTAGAGTATAATTAGCTCTGATTACATGCAATGGGCGTCTTAACATCCTCCCACTGTTTTTTAGTTTGACACCATGCAGAATTAAACCAGTCAAGTCTAAGGCAGAGACGTCTGGAACACTTTGGAAATCCTGACTCGCTTTTATCATCGGTAAACCAGTCAAAAGAGCCTCTTTTTACCTGAAAATTTTAACTTCAACCGTTTCCAGTGTAGGGCTGAGCGTTTCTCAAAACAATGACCGAGCTTCACGCGGGATGTGCACCGCTTTTGCGTTTGGGCCGTTTTAGCGAAAACTACCTTGCTGGCGGGCGGCCCACCGCCTCACGCCGTTACTACTTGAGCAAACCAGCCCCGGCTTCCCTCGGAGCTCGTACCACGGCGGGCACCCCTGGGAAGGCTCGGTACCGTCTTTTGCAGGCACCGTGCGCCGGCGGGAACCTCCTGAGGACTCCCTACGGCAGCGGCGATACCAGTACCCGAAGACCCGGCGTGGGGAGAGAAGGATTTACCTCAGCGGCAGCGGCGGCGGCCCGGGGGTGGCTGAGGGAGACTTGTAAACGGCCGTTGCGCCTCCCCCTCACCTCCCTCCGGGCCGGAGACGGCCTTTGGGCGGGCGGAG